GATGTATCTTGTTCTCAAGGACATATCTTTCTACAGTGCATTCTCTTTTCATTTCTGAACGGTTGTAGGAGTAGGTTCTTGCAGAAAGTTGTCTCTTCCTTTTCAGTACGGTAGAGGCAGTTTGGGACCGTCTTGGGACACCCTTCTGATTGGTCCATAACCTAGTTGGGACCCTTCGGGACTCGTGGGACCAGGCCCAATGGGACAGGACCCTTCGGCCCCAAATCTGTTGCCGTCAGTTGCATTTCTTTGTTGTGATGAAATTGGGGGACACACGGCTAGTAGGCGAATAAACTAGTTTGGACTGAATTAACACAAATATGGCGAAGTGACAATAATCGCGTAAAAGGTTTTTTTTTTAATTTAGTAAATGGAGGCTACGCTGTAGCAATTGCAGGTCATATAGCTTTTCTTCCTCAGAGTCCTCGAAAAAGCTGAAAAGTTTTTCATAGTCAATTGAGAATGTTCTCAATCTTTAAAATGAATCCAAAAATTTTGAATATCGTAGTCAAAAAAATAGGCGAACAATCACGAAAATGACCTTGGTAGTCCATGTTGTAAATGATAAGTGTTGGTCCTTGGTCTACACCCGGTGGTTTTGGGGGGCGATTCGATGAGGGACCTAGCTAACGCGTTAAACACTCCGCCTGGGGAGTACGGTCGCAAGGCTGAAACTCAAAGGAATTGGCAGGGGCCTGCACAAGCGGTGGAGCATGTGGTTTAATTTGATACAATGCGCAAAACCTTACCAGCCCTTGACATATGAAAGAAACTCCTTGTAAGAGATGTACTTTGACTTCATACAGGTGTTGCATGGCTATCATCAGCTCGTGTCATGAGATGTTGGGTTAAGTCCGATAACAAGCGCAACCCTCGTTTTATGTTGCTAAGACATCGCAACGGTGTGCTGCACTCACAAAAAACAAGCAGTGCTATACTGGAAGAAGGTGGGGATGACGTAAAGTCCGCATGGCCCTTATGGGTTGGGCTACACACGTGCTACAATGGCAATGACAATAGGAAGCAAGGCTTTAAGGCCGAGCGAATCCTGAAACATTGCCTCAGTTCGGATTGTTCTCTGCAACTCGAGAACGTGAAGTTGGAATCGCTAGTAATCGCGGACCAGCATGTCGTCGTGAATATGTACTCGGGCCTTGTACACATCACCCATCACACCATGGGAATTTCTTTTGCCCGAAATCGTCTCTATGATAAACCAATGACTTTGATACATTACACACGTCAAGTGCGCAGCATGTTTTTTGCATCGTTGATCATAGACACTATCACGGCAGAATCAATGACTGAGGTGAAGTCGTAACAAGGTAGTCGTAGGGCAACATAAGGCTGGATTGACTCCTTTCCAATACACATACCCAAATTTGATTTAATGTCGATCGAATCAAACTAGTTACCAAAGGCGTGAAGCACAATTCCGAGTATCCGGGTACTATTGTAAGACATGAAAACACCCGATCCCATTCCGACCTCCATCCGTGAAATCGTTTTACTGATTTCTTTTGGGAAACATGGTTCAAGCCCGGACCTATCAATTTATTGTGCAAAGAAGAACCATACTAATACTACGTGCGCGGGATAGATTAATTGGTAACTTGTCAAGCTCATAATTTGAATCATTCCTTTCGAGGGGATCTTGACTGGTCTTACAACATGTTGTCACACACTGCCCCGCGTCTGGCTCAGCGATTGTCTGGACCCCTTGAAATGTTCATTGCTTCAGTTAGTTTTCTTCTTCTGACTTGTTCGTGGTACATGTTCCATGTCGGGTTAGACAAGAGGGGATCTCCAGCTAATCTGACCGAACCCATTTGTTAAGGCAGACCTCTCTTTGAATTGTTTATTATTTATTTAATTCTGCTGCATGGATGTCATTCTCTAAGTCCAAATGAATTGTCGCTCCGGCTAGGAGTTCTATCTTCTCCTCTTGTGAGTTTTTTTTTTTTTTTCTTTTATTTGAACTATCTATGTCTAGTATTGAGACGCGTGCGTAGGAAGCGAAAAGAGAGAGAAGGGAGAGATAGGGTATTCTTTTTTTAAGTGTGAAGAGGAGAAGAGGAGTGGTCATCCAAACGATAGCAAAGAGAGGACCCCTCTTAAGAGATCCACTGACACCCCATCCTACGGCATGCCCAATGCCACGCCATGCTGGACGCAGCGAATGAGAGCTAGAAACCGTTCTTTCATAAACTTTATGAGGAAGCGTTGTGTAGAGAAAGGGAGGCAGATGCAACGGCTAGATCGGCAAGCATTGCTGACCAAATAGTTCTTTTGACTATTCCGGAAACCGGAGATGCTCAGTTTAGAGAAACAAGTGGACCCGCCGCAGCGAAGGACGATGACAAACACATTTTGTGAAACACCCCACCCATCATTTGGACCCCATCTTTGCAATGTACCCCTACCGGGCGCTGCCCAATGTTGCAAAATACCCCAGCAGTTGCCAAGTTTTCGTAGGTGCAATTGCAAAAGGCCAAGCGAATTTGCACACCCACCTGACAAGGGCATAACACAAACATGTCAGTCCAAAAGGCTATTCCAATATGCCCATATCTTTTAGCGACATTTTGACATATATCTCAAATTTATGGGGGTATTTGGAAAATTACCCCCATCCCAAAAAAAGGAGACTCTCTCTCTCTCTCTCTCTCTCTCTCTCTCTCTCTCTCTCTCTCTCTCTCTCTCTCTCTCTCTTCTTTTTTTTTTTTTTTCCGCATACCTCCTCCCCCTTGTGCGACCACTCAACCTCCACGTCCTCCCTCACGACCCCCTCCTCCCACTGGCACAAACTCCTCCTCCTAGCACAACCTCCTCCCAGTGGTGCGACCTCCTCCTCCCCATCCCGCACGACCTCCTCCAACCTCTCGTCCCCATCGTGCGACCTGCTCCTAACCCTCCCACGACTTCCTCCTCCCGTTTGCACGACCCACTCCTCCCCCTCCTCGGACCTCCTCTTCCCCCTTGTGCGACCTCCTCCACCCCCCCGCGCGACCTCCTCCCCGTCCTTGCACAACGTGCTCTTCCCCCTCGCAGATTGTGTTCGGAACTCCTCCTCCCCTTCACATCCGCCAAGGCATCAGCAGGTCGTCGGATGCTTTGTAAATCAGAACTATTTTATTGTGGTCGCCGCTGGATTTGAAACACGTCTGCAATTCAACAGTTTCATGTGTGCATCAACTAAGCAACCTGCCACTTCGCAAAATAAGAAGGAATCTTTCGCCAGAACATACGAAGATACACCATGACGGACAGATACATTGAAAAGAGATCCCAGTGTGTATATGGACTAAGGAGCTGTCTGCGTGCATGGCTGGAAAACTTTCTCACTCTCTCTCGCTTTGTCACATACTGTAAAGATGCAGACCAGAACAAGAACCGACCTCTCTCACATAGTACAAGATAGCACAGTGGAAGGCTTAAATACCAATCATCCGAACAATCAATGTTGCAATGCAGACCAGGCATACATCATCATCATTCCATGGTGTGAAGGGGCTTGGCGCTCACACACGAAGAATGCACCAGTCCCCGACCATACACAAACGAAGGGGAGGGGGGTTAGACGAAGAAGAGGGGAAGATGGGAATGTCGTCAACTCCAAGTCTTCGGTACAGGTCCCAAATAATCCCTCGTCAAATGTCTGAATCCCAATGTCGAGTCTGGATCCAAATGTCGTCAAGTCCCAACGTCCCCAATCTCTCTCTCTCGTAGTCTACAGATACAGAGAAGTCATGTAGCAAGAGGGTGAGGAGGAGATGGTGGACTTAGAAGAGGAGGAAGAAGAACTCTCTCTCTCTCTCAGTCCCGTACTGACCTGTGAAGGTGGCGCCTTGTTGCAGGTACATCGAAGACGAAGCTGGAGCTATGGCGCCACAGGTAAGTCTCCCTGACCTCCGCCAACCATCTCTCTCTCTCCACTACTACTCTAGCTCCTAATAGCGCCCAACGTTGAAGACTACTGGTAATGCTACTACTACTACTGCAGCGCTCCTCCAGAGTGCTGCTGCCGGATCCTGAAGACTGCCTCCTGCGTCCTGCACGTGAAGTGTCTGGGAAGTTCCTAGGAACTACCTCATGACTATCTCCTGACTACCACCAGCCTGCAGGGCGGGACAGTCTTATATAGTGCTGGCCCGCCCAGGAGGCTGCTCTTGCCAATGCCAAAACGTGCCAGACCCTAGTGTTGAAGTTCAAACAAAGGTTGTCTTGAAAACAGGCCAAAAATAGCCTGTGCTAAAAACCCTGGTCTGGTGCCTAAGTTTCAGGGCAGGTCGCCTTTATGAGGCCCTGAAAATGGTCCTCATTTTCAGGCTTTTAGGCTGAAACGACACAGGGCCTATAGGCCCTCGTTTTCAGGCTTTCAGGCTGAAACGACACAGAGCGTGTAGGCCCTTGTTTTCAAGCTTTCAGGCTGAAAATGACACAGGGCATGTAGGCCCTTGTTTTAAGGCTTTCGGGCTGAAAACGGCACAGGGCCTGTTTCCTTGTTTGGCCGGGCCTTGCAGGCCCGTGTGGATGCGCAGTATGCCACACCCCCCCCTCCTTGAAAGACCTAGGTTACCTGCGAGGGCGAAGCTGCCTATCAGAGGGAGGAACCAAAGTCCGGGTGGGAGGGGCAGGTTTGCGAAGCTTCCTTAGCTGGTCTTCGTCGCTCGTAGTCGGCGTAGATCAGCGGTGCAGATGCTTGCAAATCTGCGAACTTGGTGTCCAAAATGTCGAAGGACACGGCCTCGCTTACATGCGGGGCGAAGTACACGCGGACGGGGTCAATGCACCGGTCGATTGACTTGTGCGTGTGACTGTCAGCCAACGTGACTTACATGGGCTGCGACTTCCTCCGAATGCGTGGCCCCAAGCCATTGCGTACCAGAAAATTGTGGCCCATTTAGTTGCGAGTGCTTCCGCAATCGATCAAAGCGCTGCAGGTCGCCTCTCCGATATGAATGCGTATGTACAACAATGGCGCACCTATGTCGTCGTACCGTTGTGTCTTGAACTCGCGATCGATCTTCGCAACGTAGTCGTGAAGGTCGACAAACTCTACTCCGGCGTCCATCAACGGAGCTGGTACTGCAGTGTGCAAGTAATCCCTCAATTGTACCTTGAGCACGTTGCAATGCGGTTTCGACAATCGACCGGTGGGGGGAATGGGCATCCATTGGAAGTCCGCGAACGTCAATGGGTCGAGCTCTTCAAGTCTTGACCATGACGTCGAATCCCCGGCGATAGATGGCGGCAAAGTTGCCGCATCGGTTGCCGATGGTTGTGAAACCGTGCATGCGGCGGATTGTTGCACGTGGAGTGGTTGGTCCAACGGTGGGACCAAGTGGACAGCGTAATCCTCGTAAGATTACCGAGGACTTGTGGCATGCGCCTCCTCCCGAGATGTGTAGGAGGCCGCTAGCAAGGTGGCCGAATCTGGCGGAGTGAGAGGTCGAGTCGCCTCACCTCCCGCGCAGCTCAGTTTCCCGAGTTGTGGTATTGGCTGTCCATTTCCGGCCGGCGATGCGGTTTTTGCTTTCCCTTTTCCCGGGGAGTTGTTGTTGCTTCGCGGCTGGACGGCGGACACCTGATCTCCCTCACGTGATGGTGAGGTGGCTGCCCGGTCTTCCACAATGTTGTCCGGTTGGACTGCAGCGACATGCTGTGTACGCGGACCAAATTTTCCCTTTTCCACATGGGTTGGCTACCACGCTGTCTTCTCGTATGCAGCAGCCCAGTTGGTCTTGATGATCTCTCGGATGGTCTGAAATGCCAAAACTTTTCGATGCTGGCGGCTTCGTGCCGCTGTAGCAGATCCTGGGCCTCTTTGCGGCGGACCTGAGCATCTGCGTCGCATCTGCGTCAGCTTCGGCCTGAAGTCATTGCTTTTCAGCTACTGCCGCCGCTTCAGCCTGTAGGCGGGCAGCCTCAGCTGCCGCCTGACGCTGTTCCTCAGCCTCGATAAGTGCGAGCTCAGCTTGGAACCGCTGTCGGTACTCGGTAATGGACTCATTGTCCAGTTGGCCTGGCATGCCCAGAACTAAGGCCGTCATGGTGGTGGGGCACTGCGGACGTTGGTACTGTTGCTGTAGTGGCACTGCTGACGTGGCACTGTACCAAACCGGGAATGCAGGCAAAGGGTTGGGTGGGCGGGAAAACGTAGGAAGGTAACCAACCAAACTGTACTTTCCTCCCGTCCTAATCAACAGACTAAAAAAAATAAAATAAAATAAAAGAAGAGACTCATCTACCTTTTTTTTTTTTTTTTTTT